CTGCACGGGTACAAAATGACGCCGCTTCAGAAGCATTCTTAAGTTTGTAATACAGTTGATGAGTTGACTGTTCAACAGGAAACTTGCTAATCTCTCCTCAGATTCAACTAAAGAGGGAAATAAAAGGACTGTGATACTGCCTGTATTCAAGCCACACAAACCGACTTGGGTCCTCTGTGGAACCCAGAGGGTGACTCAGGCTAGCCGTGTGGTCACTGACGTCCATGTTAAATGTTTCTTCTCTTCCCCTCATCTGCCCCCAAAATCAAGAGGCCTGAGGGGAGTGTCTAGGTGTAGGGTGACACAAAAGTATCGGGAGACCCTGTTTCCATAATTTACCCAGAGACCTGTGGAGGAAGGAAAGGTTTCAAAACTCCCGCAGTCAGAGCTCAAAGCCAGGCAGCCTCTACCAGACGGAATGCCCGGATGAAAACGCACCTTCAGTGCAAAGGAAGACAGTGGTACAAAGTGCAACTCAGCATTCACCCAAAGGCACAGGGAAATAGAGAGTAGGGCGGCCCCCCGCGAGGGGAGCCATTTAGGCCTGGCCCTCTTAAAAGGAGAGCAGACAAGTGATGATAAGCCGTTGGAAAGTAAGCTCGTGTTCAGTGAACAAATGGCGTCACCTGTAAGACGAGAGGCGCTGTGCCTGGATCCGGGGAAACGCTGGCAAAGACGACAGACGTGGACCTTCCTCTCTCGCGGCTTATGATCAGAAGGGGAAATAATTGCTCGAAGCCAGGCTAGCCCCTGTGACAAGCACTACATAGAAGCCTTGAGTCTGTAATAAGGGAGTTTCCCACTGCTAATTCTGCCACTTGGAAGTAACTGCTGTTTTTGGCATGTGGCCCTCATTTTTCCCAACCATACATATACAGGAAATCTCTTTTTAACAAAACTGGTGGCGTCCTACTCTTCACTTGAAGGCCTCTGACCCAGCTCTCATCCGCCATGATCCTTAGCTGTTTGATTCTGTTTGGCTCGGTGCTAGCCACTTAGGAAATGTGTAGACATAGCCCCAGTTGCGTTGATAGTGTTTTTTTTAAATACAAATGCCCGTCTCCTAAACACTGGAGGCAAATGCAAACAGCAACCTAGTGGAGACCAGCGGCAAAGCAGTTCGCGGAGCTCCCAGTTCAAGACGTTTGGCAGCTCAGCGCCACCAGCTGTCCAACTCGATGTCCGCCACCTACAAACACATGTTCAGAGGGCATTAGGGAGTGTTCATACTCACAAGGACCGGCACCAGCACTAGCCCCTAACCAGAACTGACTTCTCGTGTTCACTCCCGAGACAAGGAGACTCAGGGATTGGAAAGTCCCTCTTTGGAGCTGGCTCTTTCCCTAAATCTTAGATTTTCTGGTCCGGAATTTAAAGTGGCTCAGGTTAGTCTGTTGCCGTTCTCTGATTGATGTCTTTCAGTTTTGAAAGAAATCACCCATAATTCAGGGTCCAGATCTCTTTTTCTCTTTAAAGAATCTTCATATTAATGCAAAGTCCATCTTCTTTCAGGGAGAAAAGAGCAAAAACATTTTAGAACTCCCTGAATTCACTCTACAGACACGTTCCAAGTGGTGTGCAGAGACACTCCTGTTAACAATGATGATAAGACCAAAGAGTGAGTTTGTTTTACACCCGGTCAAACCTGCACAAGGCCTCACCTCCCCAGGCCTCCGGAAGCCAGGGGCCTCCACACCTTAGGGCAGCGGATGACCAGAGACAGGGGCGAGTCTTGACTAAGCCACAGCTGTTGTTATACCCAGCCCTGCAGTCAATGTTAAAAAAGAAATGGTCTTCCCCAGGGGAATCGTATATTTATTTCATGTTGCTTAATTTTTTTTTTTTTGAGGAAGATTAGCCCTGAGCTAACTACTGCCAATCCTTCTCTTTTGCTGAGGAAGCCTGGCCCTGAGCTAACATCCGTGCCCATCTGCCTCTACTTTATATGTGGGACGCCTGCCACCGCATGGCTTGATGAGTGATGCCACGTCCGCACCCGGGATCCGTAGTGGCGAACCCCAGGCTGCCGAAGCAGAACGTGTGAACTTAACCACTGCGCCGCCAGGCCGGCCCCTCATGTTGCTTAATTTCTAACAAATACTAAGTTGGAGGAGAATCTTACTTAGCTAGAATTCTACGGCAGAGTCTAATGAACTCTTTCCCTCTGCCCTCAGCAGACACTTCCACTGCAGATAGCACTCACCTGCTAACGCCTTCTTGAGGACACGCCACATGCTGGAGCACAAGCCAAGCACAGCAGCTGTCAAGTACAGGCCCGAATAGTTGCTGGACAATAAGGTAGATGGAAACATGATGAAAACTTGTCACCACTGACATTTAAATGTGATGAAACCTTTACTATCAATTTGGACAAAGTTTAATGAGAGTTGAGCTCCAGTTTATATGGCACCTCTTCAATGTTCTTCCCAGAATAGGTAGCCTGTAACAGTGCGTTCAAATTTACTTCTTACTCAGAGCAAGCAAAATGACATTTTGAGTATGTTATACATCCTAAATAAGACATAGGAGCTAGTATAAAAACAAGCTAAGATAAAAAAGAATCATGTTTGGGAAAGGAAAAACTCCATGTGCATACAGATGTCAAAAGATACCAGCACAGGTACAAAAACAGGTGCACGATCAATGGGACAGAATTGAAAGCCCAGAATTAAAACCACACATCTGTGACCAGCTAATCTTCGACAAAGGAGCTGAGGGCACACAATGGAGAAAAGAAAGTCTTTTCAACAAATGGTGCTGGGAAAACTGGAAAGCCACATGTAAAAGAATGAAAATTGACCATTCTTTTCCACCATTCACAAAAATAAACTCAAAATGGATCAAAGACCTAAAAGTAAGACCTGAAACCATAAGGCTTCTAGAAGAAAATATAGGCAGTACACTCTTTGACATCAGAATCAAAAGGATCTTTTCGGACACCACGTCTTCTCAGACAAGGGAAACAAAAGAATAAACAAATGGGACTTCATCAGACTAAAGAGCTTCTTCAAGGCAAGGGAAAACAGGATTAAAACAAAAAAAAACCCCCACCACTAATTAGGCAAAAATATTTGCAAGTCCTATATCCAACAAAGTGTTAATCTCCGTAAGAACTCACACAACTCAACAACAAAAAAAATCAAACAACCCAATCAAAAAATAGGCAGGAGACATGAACAGACATTTCTCCAAAGAAGATATACGGATGGCCAATAGGCACATGAAAAGATGCTCACCATCACTGATCATCAGGGAAATGCAAATCAAAACTACACTAAGATATCACCTTACACCCGTTAGAACAGCAAAAACAACCAAAACAAAAAGTAACAAATGTTGGAGAGGTTGTGGAGAAAAAGGAACCCTCATACACTGCTGATGGGAATGCAAACTGGTGCAGCCACTATGGAAAACAGTATGGAGATTCCTCAAAAAATTTAAAAATAGAAATACCATATGACCCAGCCATCCCACTACTGGGTATCCATCCAAAGAGCTTGAAATCAGCAATTCCAAAAGTCCCATGCACCCCTGTGTTCATTGCAGCATTATTTACAATAGCCAAGACGTGGAAGCAACCTAAGTGCCCACCAACTGATGATTGGATAAAGAAAATGTGGTATATATATACAATGGAATACTACTCAGCCATAAAAAAGGGTAAAATTGTCCCATTCACAACAACATGGATGGACCTTGAGGGAATTATGTTAAGTGAAATAAGCCAGATAGAGAAAGACAGTCCCTGTATGACTCCACTCATAGGTGGAAGTTAAACATGTGGACAAAGAACAGATTAGTGGCTACCAGGGGAAAGGGGGGGTGGGGAGTGGGCACAAAGGGTGAAGTGGTGCACCTGCAACACGACTGACAAACAATAATGTACAACTGAAATTTCACAAGGTTGTGAACTATCATAATCTTAATAAAAATTTAAAAAGATACCAGTACAATACTAAGGGTACATAATAAATGAGGTTATAAAAAACTGATAGAAGATCAAGAGGCTAATTCAGATATTTAAATACATACAATCAGACCATAACTTGGGGTGGATGACCCTTTAAGATTCTGCAAAGGGTAAACGATTATTAAAGAGCAGAATGGATTTTATGATAAAGAATCAGTAGAATCATGTGATATAGAACATGTCAATTTAGAGACAGAATAAAAAGTTAGAATTTGGAAGTTCCTCGTTCCTCCCTGTAAATATTATATGGTTTTCCACAATGGCATTTTTTGTGAATATGGATTATAGCTGGGAAAACCTTTATTTCTGACTTGGTATTCAGTAGTGATACTGAGCCAGTTACACACGCCTGGGGTCACCTACACACACCTTGCCTATGGAAATGCACCAACCCTCACTTATTCAAAGTGCCCACTCTTAATTTTCCATTGAGAGCAAAGCAAATATTGTGACAAAGTTTTTGCAAAATATTATGTGATACGAGCTGCAGGGCAAAAGGAGGGACCAAAATATTTTTAATTACATAGTTCAGGGGAAGAGAAACAGGTGAAGAGAGGTCCACAGACCACGGATTTCTCTGCAGAAAAACAAAGACAAAAAGACATGCCAAGGGGCTGGGTGGGTGGCGTAGTGGTTAAGTTCACGTGCTCTGCTTTGGAGGCCTGGGATTCGCAGGTTTTGGATCCCAGGCACAGACCTATGCACTGCTCATCAAGCCATGCTGTGGCAGGCATCCCACATATAAAGTAGAGGAAGATGGGCACCGATGTTGTTAGCTCAGGGCCAATCTTCCTCAGCAAAAAAGAGGATTGGTGGCAGATGTTAGCTCAGGGCTAATCTTCCTCAAAAAAAAGGACATCACCCAAGATGAGGTAAGAAGGATTAGGAGCCCCTGAAACACTACTTCTAGGAGCAGAAGGAACAGAGATGGTATATATTTGCATTGTAAACAATGTGCATCATACAAACTGAAACGAAACCTAGCTAATCAAGCTAACGAAAATCATTCACGCAACATTACATAGGCAAATCATGTTTAAAAAAATATTTTAATAAGCATATTCAGAATGGCAGACAGGGAATGGGAGAAGGGAATTATTTTACAGTGCAAAATTACTATGCATAAATTTAAAAACATGTAATTCATAATTTTAAATGCCTATTTAAATATTACTTCAAATACATTTTAACGCTCAACAGATTTGTGTTGAACTGAGTTGCAGATTCTGAACTCTATTTGAAAACACATCATAAAACAGAACACCATTCCAAATGAAAATGATAGTGCTTTGCTGGGGGAGGGGGGCGGTTTGGGGTGGAGAAGGCTAAGTAACTATTAACAAGGCTTCTTTTCCCAATGCAATTTGTCAAGAGTTCAAGAGTTATGAAATGTATTAAATCTTAAACAAATTCATGATATTAGTAAAAATCTGAAAGTAGTGCAATGACTTATCAAGTTATAGTGGCTGCATTATGAAGAACAAAGTACTGTGTGAAATACCTGTATAAACACAAAATACAATTAAATATTTCTTTACGAAAAGCTGAGCAATTATGCATTATAATAGTGGAATGTCTTTCCTTAAAAAGATCAAGAAAAAATTTCCTAATATGTATACGTGTGCCATATTTGCAAACATGCCTGAGAATTTACTAAAATTGTTCCTGTAATATCAGTTTGCAAGAACTTCACAAACCTGCAAACAAAATACATCTTTTAAAAAAAGGTGAAAATGGCATCTCCAATGTTGCAACTTAAAAAGTACAGCATCACTATTTGTTTGCAACATTTCTGCAGATCGTCTGACAAAGAGCTGCAATACTCTGGATTCATTTTACAGAATCCGATTTAGAAAATGCACTGTGGCCATCTGCTAAAGCTGCCATTCTGGAGAAATTCATGTTCCAGGTAAAACAAAACAAAAACAACCAAAAATTCACGCTTCTCAGCACGTCCACCCAAAACTTTGATTTACTTGGATATGTTTGTAACAACAGTGAATGTACATTATAGGAAGTCAAGTGTTGGAAAGTGGCTTTTAACACTGTTGGGGGGAAGAACGCTGTTCACATTGGCGGAGGGAAGCCGTCTGAACATATTAATAATACTTCATGGGGGTAAGGCCTAAACCAGAACTGCTCAGTGCAAACCTCTGCTCAATTGCGTCAGCCAGCTGAGCCAGTAAATCAAGACCACAGAACACTTATTAAAAAGGCATCGGCTCCTGAACTGATGGCTAAAAATGACTTAGTAGAAGCATCTGGGGTATGCCTGTGTGATAAAAACAAGAATAGTTAATAATCTTTTACAAAAGTTTGGATATAGGTTGGTCTATCAGCTGTATAAAACTACATTTTTTAACAAGAATTTTGCACTAAAAATAAGACGGCACTCTTGCGAGGCTTTGCGAACGGACGATCCTGTGGGCACTCACACAGAGCGACGGCTTCGCATGTCTGCTGCTCATCTGGATGTACGCCATCAAACCTGAAGGACTGGACTCTAACTGGGAAAGTCGAAAACCTTTTCTGACTTCACCTTTTCCTCATAAAATCAATATTCTTGCCTGCCAACTCCTTGTGGGTGCCAATTTCTAAACATCACTTGACTGGTTCCCCTATTTAATGCAAAAATGGGAGGTTTTTTAATGCATATAAAAATAACTGGACAGGATTCTGGTCAGCATGATACATTTAAGCACTTAAGCCAACATTAAACTTTTATCTTGCTTCAAAAATAATTTTGAAAATTATAGCAAATGCAAAACAAACTATGTAATCTAAGTATCACGCTGAATTTCAGAATTCTCAAACTATTTGTCCTTAAGTAGAAATTTGAAAAACAAATTTTCACAATCCTTTATGAATGCTTTTACCACCCGGATAAGAAACATGACTTAATTACTACACACACACTTAAAAAGTCATTAAAAACCTTAGCAAAATAAAATGAAAGCTGACAGACTCAGAATATCAATTCCTCTCATAAAAGTTTACCAACTGTACAAGTTAAGAAAATTATACAAGCTTTTGTATTAAGAAAGGACAGCTCAGTCAAGACATATGTACTGTAAAAATCTTTCAAAGGCTACAAAGAATCTGGAAAAATACAGAATGTATTTCTTAAGCCCAGATAAGAATATGGAAAGACATCATTGATGTCAACAATTTTACATACACAAACCTGACTTGGTTTATTTTTAAAACTTCTATATATAAAAAAATCATGCTAGCATAACTTTCAGGATTCATAAGGGTTTCCTTAATAATGATACTCAATTTGTATGGAGAGAAAAATGTCTGTTATAAAAGACATTTCAAGAAACTCAGAAAGTTGTTTAAGCAGAAAATTGAACTTGATTTTTTCTTCCCTGCCATCGAACTAAGCACAGAGTACCTTGTAGTGAAATTTTAGGATTAATACATCAATGAGAAGGTACAGATAAATCTTTAGTCCATTCAAATTTACTAAACTATTTATTATATTCTTAAAAGGGTCTTTACAGTTTTAAAGTAAAAAATCTGCAAAAGGCAGAATTATGAAATCTTATTTACTAAAGTTAGGACTCAATTCAAATTTTCAAATTTTTACCAACTGCTTCAAGGAAATCAACTTTTTAAGGTAACCCATCAACCCTGAAAATTTAAGTCACGCCAGAATTTACTTCAAAGAAAGTAAAATGAGTCTAAAATTTAGTCATCTGTGTTTTCAAGTTCTTCAAATTTTCCCTGTGAGATGGCTTCTTGGAGAAATTCAGAAGAACCTGGACTTTCTTTTCCATTGCTATTTACCCTTCGCCTTTTGGCAGGTCTCTCACTTTTTTCATCAAAATCATTTTCATTTCTTGCAGTCACATGGGCAAGTTTTGGGTCAGTGGTAAGGTTATCTGTTTCATAGCCATTAGTATCCATATCTGCATGAAGTGGTTTCTTATTTCCACCTGTTGGTCCGTTAATGTGCAACCCTTCAACTTTTACTTCTTCTTTGTTTAATATTTCACCGGGTCCATTAGATGACACCCCTAAGTTGGAAGAAACATAAATGAAACTGATAACACTAAAAAGTTAAATGTGTAAACTATTATAAAACAGCTTTTCATCAAGAAAGGAAGGTATCAGATCTGTGTAAACATATGTCTGAATCCTGGCTCTATTTACTTAGTATCTGTGTGACCTTAGGCAAGTTACTTACACTCTCTGTACCTCAGTTTCATCAGATATACGAAAAGGACAATCACAGGTTTACCTCACAGGGTTGTTGTGAAGATTAAATAAGTTAACAAATGTAAAGAATTCAGAACAGGATTTGGTGAATATTCAAAGCGTGCTGGTATTGTGTGACAACAAACAGGCATTGGATCTGGTAGGCTAAATAAGCTGAATTAAATAGCAACGATATGCACATTGATTATTCAGATTTACCAAAAAGTTTTTAAAAACCATGTAAAAAAAGAAATATATTTTCTTTAGAAGCTTGAGTTTTCTACTGCCATATAAAATCAGTATGACGTGACTTTCGTATTCTTTTGTCTGTTTGGTATTTTCTGGTGGGGCAGATTCACCCTGAAGGAACATCTGTTGCCAGTCTTCCTCTATTTTGTGTGTGGGATGCCTGCACAGAGTGCCTGATGAGTGGTGTAGGTCTGCACCCAGGATCCAAACCCGTGAAGCTGGGCCGCCGAAGTGGAGCATGCGGAACTTTTTAACCACTCGGCCACGGGCAGCATGGACTTCTTTATTCTTAATGTAAATCTATACGTATTGTGCTTTAAGGGTAAAGATCATATGCTGTATCTAAATGGATTTAAATAACCTGTCATACTGTTAAAAAATTAATGCTTGAACAGTCCAAGCATACACTTGAAAATGCTAAAAGTAAAAACAAATTCCTCTGTAATAGGCGAGAAAAGAAAGAGCATAATTATTCTAATAAAAGCAAGTAACAATAAAAAGGTCATGTTACAGTTGCAAAAGGGAGTAAAAATTTTGGGGATACTTAATGTAAAATATAGAATGCACCACTGGAGATAAAATTTAATTATCTGAAAAATATTCAGTATAAAGGATGAACCTCAAATACTACATTTTGGTGAAAGAAAATATTCTATATTCTCCAACTCGAAAATATTCTATACTCCCCAACACTCAAATCACAAACGCACACGGGGATGATGCATCCGATGACACTGAAGGAATGATTCTGTTGTAGGAACCCCAAAGAGCTAGGTGACACTGTGATTAGGTCAAAATAAGATTTCAAGACACTGGGGCCAGCTCCATGGCCGAGTGGTTAAGTTTGCACGCTCCGCTGCGGCGGCCCAGGGTTTGGATCCTGGGCGCGGACATGGCACCGCTTGTCAGGCCACGTTGAGGCAGCATCCCACATCACACAACTAGAAGGACCTGCAACTAAGATATACAACTGTGTACACAGGGGATTTGGGGAGATAAAGCAGAAAAAAAAAAAGAAAGAAAAGAAAAGATTGGCAACAGTTGTTAGCCCAGGTGCCAATCTTTAAGAAAAAAAAAAAAAAAGATTTCAAGACACTAATGAAAGAAAGACCCTTATAAAAACAAAGTTGAGTTGGAAAGTTCCTTCCTTTCTTTGAAAAACCTGCGAATCTTGATTGTAGGTACCTGATTTGAATGGCTTCTGGGCTACTGAGTAATTTATAGGTAACTTACAACACTCTCCTAGACCAACTGCATGTTCTCATCAAACGGTTCAAAAAGAAAAAAAGGAAAATGATTTATTTGGTGTTATGAGCAAACGAGAAAAGACAGAAGAGGTACCAACAGTCTGCCTTCCTGGGCTTCCACCGCTAGTCCCAAGGTCAGAGTCTCAGCTGCTTACTCTACTTTAGAATGGAGGTGGCTGCCGTTAGACATCATGGCAGTGAACCTGTCTGGATCAGGAAATGGCTGCTGGGCCCTAATTTCTGTTTGTTTGCTTTGTTTTTAGGGGCGAAGTTTGGAGGGTCATCAAATGAACAAAGCCTATTCACTCGGCAGTGCCAGTGTGAGACCTTTGGCAAGAACAAAGGTCAAACCTGTCAGTGTTCCTCTGCCACCTTCTGTCAGGGCAGGTGAGCTCTCCACTAGCCCTGCCCGAAGGCTGGCACATCAGCACGCAGGTGGGCAGAGCTTTAGGCCACAAGTGTCCTAGGGAGGAATGAGGGCTTACTACTTTCTGCTTGGCAACTGTCTTACTTAGGAAGACCATTTTAATAAAAGTAGAAATCAAAATAATTCTCTGACAAGGTCTTACTGATCAGCACAGTGATCTGTGGTCCATTGTGTATTTTAAACAAGAACATTATCTGAACCTCAAACTTATCAGTATGCTTTTTGCTTCCATCTTGCATGGAGATAAAAATAGAAGCATTTCTGTAGAATATTAGTGCACAGGCTGATGCCTGTGTTATCTTTTCTCATCCTTCAAGGTCATTATGCTATCAGTGAGAAAAATATTCAAAGCAGTGCTTGTGCTATCTTCTTTTCATCTATATGCTGAAAGCACTTGCCTGACCAAGTGTTATTAAGCTCTCAAAGTATTTCATAAATATCTGTGTATTTCTGATGTGAAATGGCTGGAGTTTCAGTCTAAGAGTTAACAAGAATACTTACGTCCAGGCATCCCAACTGGATAAGAAAACAGATGTTACTTAAAAAGAATAAATTTCTTAAATGACACGTTGATAACAGACTTTATTAAACTTAGATACTTTCTAGTGATGTCAATAGGATTCTTTCCAAATAGTTTCTATTCTCTGTGTGTCAGTATCTATGTATGCTGATACTATGTTTGTCATCTGGTATTTACAATTATTACTTTAACTTCTGCTTTGGAAGTTTAACAGAAACAAAACTGAATTTCCCAGGCTCCTGACAGCAAAGTGCGCCTCAGCAGGAAGAAGTACAAGTGCGCCTGGGGCTGCTCACCGTTCTGAGCGCTGGCGCTCCCGGCACCGTCTTCCTTCTCGGACTGGCTGTTACTGCTGCTGGAGGCCGTGGGTGGAGGGGACGGGGCGCGGCTCGAAGCCGCACTTTCACTTTCATCCAGAAGGCGATCCATGTAATCCCTTAAAATTAAGTAAAATAATAAAACAATTATTTACTTATATTAAAAACAGCTGAAAATTAAAATTAAGGTTCAATTTAGGAGGTTTTATTAACAAACATATCCTCATTTTCACTTACATTCATTCCAGTGCCTCATCTATCACACCAGGATTTGAACATTTAAATGGAAAGCTCCCTTGGTTACATGTTTGTAGGGAAAAAGGATAAGGGCTGTAAACTAGCAAATTTTAGACAACTATATGAAGTTTTAAAACTTTTAAAACTGTAGGCAAGTGCTCAGAGGGACCCAGCTAAAATCAGAGGATTTATAAACGAAGCGAGTGGTATGACGTCGATCAGAAGCCGTACAAAGAATTTCTGAACAGCCACAGACTGGGATCTTCAAGCTCCTAACGGCTATCTGAAGGCTGTGGCAACACCTCAGAGACAAACAGGGCCTAACAATGAACCACTCTCTGACCTTCCTGAATACCTGCTTTATTACCTTTCTGCTACACCTGAGCTCCCAGAGACTAAGTTCCTGGGCGTATACCATTAGAGGTGAGCTCACTTCTTCTCTGAGTCACTCCTGAACTGTCCGACAGGGAAAGACGCTTGTGGTGACTGACACTGGGTAGGGGTTAGAAGATCTGGGCTAAAGAAATACTTCTCTCTCTGAGGTTTAGTGCCTGTACCTATAAGATGCATGCAATACCTGACCTTTCTACCACACAGGCTGTTGTATAACCTAAGTGTAGGCAAGTGTCTTGTAAGCTAGAAAGTGCTATTAAGTCAGTAGAATGAAGGTGAGCAAACTACAGACTGTGGGCTCGGCCACTTGTTTTTGTGAATAATATTTTACTGGAACACGGTCACACCCATTCATTCACATAGTGTCTGTAACAGCTTTTGTACAACAGCAGAGCTAAGCAATCGCAAGAGAACTTAAGGCCTGCAAAGCTTCAAGTATTTTACTCTCTAGCTCTTTAGAGAAAAAGTCTGCTGAAGCCTGCATGCAGTAATTCCCCGAAGGCAGGCATTTTAGTCTGTTTATCCCTGCACCACCGATACCCAAGTTGTGCATGGCATGGAGTAGAAGCAGCTCAATAAAAACTTAAGTACATTATTTATTTTAAAATTCGCCCAGAATAATTATAATAGAAATATTAAGAGGAATATTTCAGAATTTTGTGAACAGGGTAAATAAGAACATGGGTAAGAGGAAACAGTGGAAGGGCTCAAGACTTGACTAAAAGTCTGTAGTAACGGTGTACACAGAGTATCAACTGTGCTTATCATCTCCAACTACAGGATTCCACCGTCCCCTGCGTTCTAGGGATATAAGAGATACAGGGCCATGGGACTCGAATGCAGGAAGCTTCCAAAGTCTGAGGTACAACACAAACACATGTCAAAGAACCATGGAAGACCACAAGCTCATCAAGTTAACATTCTAGGTCTTATTCTCCTCATCTGTCAATGGAAGGAATTGAACGTGACGCTCTTTACAACCTCTTCAGCTTTATGCCATCCATCATCTTTACAGAACAATTATGTAACAGGTCTGAAGCACACAGAAGCAGCAACGAGCATGATGAGTGCCTAAGGGACTTGAGAAGCTAAGGCTAATAGGAACAGATGATGCACGAGCAAGGACTGTTGGAGACACATTTGGTATGGTGGGAATGGACAATGGAGGACATGAACAGCCAAGCAAAGGAAGCTAGAGTTGACTAGATATCAAAATTACTTAAAGTTTCTTGAATATAGCAATGATACTGCGAAAGAATTACTGTTATTTCTTAAAGATTAATGGCATCCAGAATACTTAAGGAAGGAGAAGAGTCAGGTAGACCATACAGGAGTTTGGAGCAATGTTCAGATAACTGGAGTTACGCTAAGTTAATGTTTACTTTTTTAAAAAAATTATTTGCTAGACTGTTACAGTGAAATTTGCGATTTGCATATGGCTACTAATTCTTCCAGGCAGTGAACAGAGAGTCTGTAGTAGGATCTTTCAGAGGCTGTTTGCAGGCAGAGAAGTGGCAAGTGTGCTTCATTCTGGTGAACAGATAGAAGGTAACGATGTAGCAGACAAATGAGCAAATAACTTTCAGGATAATGCGCTCTAACTATGGATTTTGACTAAAAAAGGAAGATGAAAAACTTCATTCAAACTTTTGTCTGCAGGCATTAATGTTTTGTGCAGTCACTTAAAGTGCAACTATTAACAGAAAGAGAAGGTCCTGGAAGCAAAGCAAAAAAATATCTCGTGTGTACAGAAAATCACAATTTCTGCTCATCTGGAAAAAACGTACGGTCTGGCCACAGCTTCTTATAGGATATGCCACACAGCCAAAACTGTGCGCGTGAGTGAAAGGTTACAGTTCTCTCAGCTAAAAAGCCTTTAGGAAAGACCCAGCGGCCCAGGACTAAAGCCTCCGAAACCACTGTATTCTTGCCGTGGGGTAAACACATCTGGTCACCTCATACCATCACACTAGGGGCCACTGTTAACTCTGACGGCCTGAAAAAAAGAGAAGCTATGGGACTACTGTTAACTATGGCTACCCTACCTAGAGAATCCTTAACCTTAAGAGGAATCAAAGTTACAGATTGAAGTATCTTCAAAAATGTTCAGAGGCTAAGAAGAGAATATTAGAGAAACTAAAATGTTTGGCGGCACATCCCTACCTAACCTGTCGAGCTTGACGTCACAGAGGACCAACTAAGCCAGCCCACACCACTTCCCTTGGTGATGCTTTCTGAAAGAGAAAACTGGATGAACCATGGGTCTGACCAGCATGGCAACTCCTATGTTCTTACTGCTGATGACGACAGATTGCCTGTAGTTCGTGTGTGAACATTATTTCTGAAATGGGTGAAAAAAATGAAAGATGTTACTATTGCTTTTCCCTATAGAATAGCTTGAAAACTGTGACTATTTTAAGATATACTCTGAAGACTAGATAGCTATATCTAGTTCTACATTATGCCTCACCACTATTAATAAATAATCCAGAAAAAAATGTAACTATAAATTGATAACATGCTTAAGCAATTATATAAAATTAGGAACACTGTCATATATGAAATTGCACACTAGCCATCACAAGCTTTGAATAAAGGGGGATGAGGCACAAAGTCCAATGTCCCATGATTTCCAGGGGCAATCATATCCATTTATTTCGTTCTAGATAGTTTTGTTTTGGATTTTAGTGTTTGATCCTCCAGGGAAGTGATAAACAGTGATACCTGCAAATGAACATAACCAAGAAACAGGCCAGCCGAGGACCCTAGTTTGAAAAGCATAATCAAATATGCATGTAAACACATCTTTCAAAGGCAGCTGTTGGGCCAGCCTCCAGAACTTTACTGGTGCACACTTGGCCAAATGAAGTCACAACTGTGAATTATTTTTATTCCATAAACAGGGAATAATCAAGGACAGTATAGTAAAGTTAATTCTACTATAACAATTCATCAGTATTTTAGAACTTATGTGAGACAAAGGGTTCAATGCTCTATGTAGTTAAGTAACAAATTACTAGTGGCAGTGGGGACAGTGTTTCATTCCAAGCTAGACTGAATGAGGATAAGAGAATGTGTGCAGGGACCGCAACAGACAGAAGGCATTTTGCATAAAGAGTGCATATACTAACAACCCATACTGCTAACCCTGGGAGTAAGCTACAGTTGCATTACTAATTACTAAACATTATTTCTGTTAGAGGAAAGGTTTCGGGAAATCTAGGAAAAGAGAAGTCACCATGCACATATGCTTTCCTCTGTAAGAAACTTTGTAACAAAAAAGAAAAGGCAATTTGACCTTGATTTATTATATCCCTATGTCTTTTCCCTTTTATATCATCTATACCCAAATCTTATTTTGATTCTCAGGATCAAAAGTAAATTGGATTAAAAAAATTTTAATTTTCCTTCCTCTTTGAAGGGCCTCTATTAGGCATACGACTGTACAGTTTGAGGAAAGACAGTCTCCCTTTCCGATTCTCACTGCTCTCGCAATGTTTCCAGATTAAAACTGTATGTGCTTATACTGAATGGAACAGAAGTTAACAAAAGCATGCTTACACAGCTATTCTGATCCCTCTTCTCTCAGGAAAACTACTGAAAATTTACACTCTAACATCTACTTTGACACACTTGTCTCAAATAGGATGAACTGTAGTTTACAGTGTTTTCTAAGACGCTGAAAAGTCTAAATGACCCAAGAAGATCTATCAATAAACGGATATATCTAAACCAACGTGAACTCCCATCCTATTCAAAAATGAAGATTCTAAAAATTACAATTTTCTCGAGAAATTTAGAAAAGCTTAACAACAAAATGACTCAAAAGAAAAAATAAAACTCACGTGACACCAGGATGAAGATTATATTTCTTTTTTCCAAATCGTGTTTGCTGAGCAAAGAAATCGTAACGTTCAGATTTTTTCCACATATAATAGAATGCTACACATTCACCAACTGACCTTGTTCGAACCTGTAAGAAACAAATAGTTTTCAAGAATCATCTCTTTAAAGGAGTTATTTCATGAAAAATATCTAAAGTTGGAAAATAAATTTAGCTGGTCCTTAAGTAATAATATACAATACTATGTATAAAATACAACACTGCAGCAGCTGCGTTAAAAACTATTCTTTTTAAACCCCCATTAAGAGAAATAATACATTGGCAATGTATTCATTCAGTCTTCAGATATTTAGCATTATGTTTTTTAAAAGGTTATCATCTTTACTACAAAAATAAATACTTGTCTATTGAAAATGTTTGGAAGTAGTATTTGAGTTAAAATAATACTATACATAGTTTACAAATACTTCTACTCACAGAGCACCTATGGAGTCTACATTTAAATTTCCATGTAAAGATTCTCTTACTAGTCGCAGTGGTGATCCAGACTATTAATTTACTTTCTAGAAAGGCTGAGAATATTCCACAGCGAGTTAAGAGCTATTATAATAATGCTAATGCTTTGTTGACTAAGTTATTCCACTGGCTTACGGTGCTATACCTATTTGTGTAACTGAATGTTTCCCCTTTCATAACGTTCAACACCTATTGGACTGGCAACTAACGCTGACAAAAATCCCCCTTTTCACTACTTATCTTGCAGAGCTGGTAGGGCTGATGTATAGAATAAAGTACTGGGAGTTTAAAAGGAGAAAAGGTATCTGGCGTGAGTGTTTGGGATGCAAGATGATACTGCTTTAACCCATAAATTTCTGATCTTGAAGCAAGTATCCTAAGATCAACTTGCGGACATCCTTACTGTCACCTGAAACAGGTTTTTGTTTATTCCCCTCTGCTTGTACTTTATAACGTTGGCCCATGTTGCTCTAGGGCTTTAAAAAAAAAAATCATCTTCTCAAGTTCTTTTTTGCCTCCTTCAGAGTCTTAGTTCTAGATAGATACAAGCCAAGTCAACCGTACTTTACTGAAAACAAGAACTGTAAAGACATTTTAAGGCATGCAAATTTAACATTATGAAAAATCCTCAATAAAATAAGCCTCCATAATAGAACTTATGAATAAGATCCAAAATTCAATTCTAGGTGTGAAGACAAAGTCAATGACTTCACTGGACGACTACTCTGCCTCTTAAAGAATCACCGTCCTCCCTTTGTTCACTAGGACAACTAGTGTATTACGTGCAGGTCAGCTGACTTCTGTAACACCAAAATATCACTTTCCCAGACATTTATAAAGAAATCAAAGTCTTATTTTCTATATGACATTAACACATTTTTGGCTAGTAGTTCCAAGTCACTTAAGTAGTTTCAAGTCACCTAGTAAGCTTGTATTTCTTAAAAACGGGGATTTCTGGGAGGTTGCTGCTGCTGCTAGTTACATCAGCTTATCACTGAAGGGGTCCCCTCCAAAGGTAATCCAGCGTGGTTTGGTCAAAAGTGTTTGAATTCAAGCAGGAACGCTAGAAAACTCTTATCCAAAATGTCATCCCTTTCAATCATGAAACAATCCATTATTATTATTTTTTTTTTTTGAGGAAGATCAGCCCTGAGCTAACATCCACTGCCAATCCTCCTCTTTTTGCTGAGGAAGACTGGCCCTGAGCTAACATCCATGCCCATCTTCCTCCATTTTATATGTGGGACGCCTACCACAGCACAGCTTCATGAGCAATGTGTAGGTCCATGCCTGGGATCCGAACCAGCAAACCCCGGGCCACTAAAGCGGAGTGTGTGAACTTAACTGCTGTGCCACTTGGCTGGCCCCTATTTTTTTTTTTTTAAACAATCAGGAACATACATGGCCAGTCACTAGCATAATGTACTCCTTTCATACAGTATTCACTTTTTGGAGGTTATCAGATGATCTGGATGCAACATTAAGGGGTAGAGATAGATTTCTGATACTAATGCTAAGACTCAAAATTTCTCTATTAGTTATGTCTGATGTCAAATACCAAAATAAAATAAGATAATCAAGAGTAAAATAGTTAACGCACAACAGAACTAAGAGAAATGAACTCAGAGGATTTGTAAACAACTATTTTATTTATAGAACACAAAATAGATCCTGTTAAATAAGTATTGAAACAATCAAGTGGACACCTCCAACCACATCCAGAGGTATAAAAAAGGAGGATGTGGTGACCAGCTATGTAGAGCCTCAGACGTAAGCAAGCCCAGATACTTTTCAACAACATCTCAAAGAAGCCATCACACAAAACTCAGACGCTATCTTTATGGAAATGTGTAAAGCCAAGCTCCTTGTCATTTAAATTCACTAAAACAGTGATAGTCATAAGCCTAGAAATTACTTAATTTCCTACACTTTAACTCTGAGATTGTAATTTTGCCTGTTCTAATTTCCTATAAGAACAAAACATTCTTCTATTCTCTATATTTGTGTAGTTACCGTTAAAAATCTTACCTGATTTCAGTTTTTAAAAGAATTAAACCTAAAAATAAATCTGCAAGTAATTATGAAGTCCTTTTGGGTACATACTGACATTGTATGATTGATATTATCCATATGGAGTGATAAATAATGTTAAATAAAATTTTCAAATTATAAAATTATAATAATGTATAAGAAAGCTGACTTATTCAGATATGTATCCTTCTGGAAAACTGAATCTTAATTAAAACCAAATTAAATATTAAGTATCTAATTTTAGATCAGGACTTAAGCAAATTTAAAAAATATTTTAATTATACACAACGTCACGTTAAAAATGCTTTAAGGGGGGCCGGCCCGGTGGCACAGCAATTAAGTTCGTGTGCTCTGCTGGTTCGGGCCCCAGGTGTGGGTGTGGGTGCTCACCAAGCCATGCTGTGGCATGTGTAACACATAAAATAGAGGAAGACGGGCAGAGATGTTAGCTCAGGGTCAGTCTTCCTTAGGGAAAAGAGGAGGATTGGCAGCAGATGTTAGCTCAGGGCTAATCTTCCTCAAAAAAAAAAAAAGCTTTAAAGTTTCAAAATTATTTTCAAGAGGCTCCTTAAAAAAATCTGTCACAAGTATGTGGAAAACAGCTTTAAATAGTTACACTGCACACACACGTCCCACCTGGAAGCTGAGGAACGTATTTGTAAATGAGTCTAATTCTTAAGGCTTCCAATATCACACACTGCCAACAGTCACCTGGCAAATGTACGGCAGGAAGTCTAGACACGCTTTTTATAAGAATTCCCTAAATAGGAATATATTAAAATATTCATCATAGAACCTTTACTATCAGAAAATAACTAAGATATAAGATGATCAGAGTTGTTAAATTTCTTATAGTAAAAGAACAAATATCATTACTTACTTTATTAGCCTGAATCAAATGAAAATCCTTTCCATAGGCTTTGAGCCCTTGTTCAAAATTTCTACACTCTTCCTCTGTCCAAACAGACAATTCCTCTGACAAAATGGAGGGAAAAACTGTTAAGCAATACTCTCCCAAATGTTCCATATAACAAACAAAGCTGCAAATAAAAGTGTAACCTTCTGGTAACAATGAAGGAAGTATTTTACTCCTGACCTCTATTATTGATGGCTACAAAAAGGTAAAGTGATGAAAACTCCTTATTTAATAAAATTTTGGATGATTTGGTCAGTAACTTTCTAACTTCAACTTAGGCCATTTTCTCTTCTATTCTTCGTGATCCAACTAGACTGGCCACCTTTCAATTCCTTAAACTTGCTCTGTTCTTTCTTTAGACTTTGTGCACGCTGCTCCCTTTGCCTAGCGTTATTTCCTACCTCCCACCTCACCCCCTTTTCCATCCCAGCAAAAATATCACTTTGTTCTAGAAGCTTCCCAAACATCCTCACCCTTTCCCCCACTAGGTTGAGTCCCACTGCAGTAAGTCTGAATGGCCACCTCTCATCCTCCTTGGAGGAACTCAGGACTTCTATTTTTCAGCATCCCTTCCCAGGCTCTGAGCACCGTGAGGCAGAGATGTTATTTCCAGCAACGCCCTCAGAACTTAGTGGGCCTCCCAATGTTGCTGAATGAATATGTATCTTCCATTTGTTACATAATGATGTATCAACAGTGCTCTCAGTGAAGCAGGGTAGGAGCCAGTTTAGAGTTAAAAAACACCAAAAACTTGGATTTTAGTTATGGCTTCATGTTTATGAGTTACGTTTGCCTCAGCTAAGCTACTGCAGTTCAGAGATGTCAGTCTCATCAACTTTAACATGAAAATAACATCTTTCACATTACTTAGCTCATAGGGCTACTACACCAAGATCAAAGAAGAAAATATTTATTAAAATGCCTTAGAATTGAAAGGCATTGTGTATTTTCACTTAATTGGCCTTATTTTCCCATAAAGGAGGAAGGGACAGTCTTAATCCCATTCCCCATGTGTATAATACTTGTGTAATACACAAGTTATTTAACAAGTTATAATGTGTTATTTGCTGTTAAGCACCTGTTTACTGAAATCAAAAAGATCAGTATTATTAAACTTAGGATACACCTAGGTAAAACTGAAGAGCTTAAGTTTTAAATTTCTGCTCTATCATGAAAACAAAAATTTAATATTTATGCTTACCTCTAGCTGCTTTTACATTAAATCTTAATCTTCTCAATGCTTCTTCTGTGTCAAAATTGCATTTAACCAATTCATATAATGCCTAGAAAAATAAAAGGCCTCAATATGTGATCAGAACCATGAACAGTTCAAGGCTACAAGTTCTTAAGAGACTAAATGCTTTTCCAGAATCCAGTGTGTGTTTTCCTTCTGTCTAGAGGACAAATAATTCTAGCGAATGAAAGAGAACACGAAGGAAAAACAAACATTAATTCAATCCTGATAATTAACTGCCTCTAAATATGTAGAATAACTTGGCAGCCACAGTATCCCAGGAATTTAGAAATAAAAACAAATCATTTTATAAAAATCACAAATCCTTCCTTTTTGGGATTTTGGGGTTCCTATGCTAAGATAATTTAAAACAAATCAGAAAAGAAAAACATTGATGAAAAAAGGTAAAAAAATATAATGCTGTTATTAGGTTTGTGGTAGGCACTGGTCGACCATGTGCATTATATCATTATCCCAGATGTATATTCCCAACTTGATGATGTCCACAGACCTTCAGGAATATCCAAAGGAACCTCAAAGCCTAACAAAAAACATATACAGGCAAAATGAAATACCAAGATTTTCGTTTGTTTATTTGAGCTGAAACTCTATCAACGGAGAGAGTGTGTCAACAATGGGATCTTGAGTTGATTAACGTCTCATATTCCCTGTTGATGACGTTACTGGAATTTTGTGGCTAGAACAATAACACTGAATGTGAAAGCATTTACATTTATAAATTATATGGTTAATTTATTTTGGGAAAATTACACTAGTTATTTCTTATTCATGTACCTGTTCATTGTCTTTTATGTGAGATCCTTCAGGAATTGCTTCTACACCTTTCTCATCACCCGTTCTTCTAGACGCATCCTTGAGAAACACAATCACTTTATCTTCTGCTAAGTGCTTAGGGTCCCACAGGAGCTGATCATCATTTTCATATACTAAATTAGTAAAATATAATGTTAATAATAAAATGCCAAAACTTGATAGTTTGCGTTAAAACATATCACTGAACAAATAACTCACACTTAGAGCCAAAATACTGGAGCGGAGAGGTGAAGCAGGGTGCTACGACTTGCGTGCTTTTGTTTTTGGGAAACACTTACAGCCTAAGCAACTTAAGCAAACTCAACAGAGGGGTACCACCTCTATGCCCCTTTCAGATCCAGTGTGACTTAGCTGGAGCTTACCAAATTCCACGCTCTCTGTTTGAAGAGCACCGCTACCACTTACTACCTGTATGACCTTGGGCAAGTTACTTCCTTCTCTCTGCCTCATCTGTGAAATGGGATAAAAACTCAACCACATGGGGCTGTAAGGATTTAAAGCACTTTAAAAAAATCCTGGCATAAGTAAGTCTCAATGGATGTTAGCTATAATTTAATTTTTGAAAAGGGATGTCTAAAACAGTGCTCACCAAATGTGAATACTGCTTATTTCTTGGTGGTAGGATTTGGGACAACTTTTCTTTCCTTCTTTATATTTTTCTATGATGCTTGAAAATGTATTATAACGAGCATAAATTGTTTTCATAAAAACAAAAGTCATTCCTTTTTAAAAAAGCCATTTAGGTTTCATCATAATTTCCATTATGCTAAGATTAAAACCTAAATCTCATCAAAATCTAGAAAATGAAAAGGAGGAGAACCTAAGATGAGAAACTGTGGAAGTATAACAGGAAGATGAAAACAGACAAAATTAAGAATGAACAGCCCCAAGACAGAAGGAGGACCAAAAGCGCGTCACCACAGCACCTAGGGCAAGCAAACGCTTCCAGCACGGAGACTGCTCAGATGTCGCCAAGCGACCAGGATGAACACTGAAGAAGGTGCACTGGATTTACCACCAATGTTTCAAGAACTGTTTCCGTGAAGAGATGGAAGCTGAAGCCATACTGGAGAGGAGTGAAGAGTAAATGGAAGCGGAAGAAATAAAGGGAGAAAACTCTTGAAAAGCTAGGTTGTGATGTAGGAGATAGGGCCATAGCTAGAGGAATTACAGCTGAACAAAGTTTCCAGTTTTGTTTGTTTGTTGATTTTTAAAGATAGGAGACATAATCATTTAAATGCCAATAAGAAGGAGCCAGCTGGAGAAAAGACTTTGAATTTAAGGGACAAATGATAACTATTAGTGTCAAAGTCCCTCATGTTATGGAAAAAAAATTAATAGCAAATTAAGCATCTCCTATGTACCAGGCACTATGTTAAGTGTTTTCATGTAAATTACCTTCTTCCCCACCATCACACACATACACTTTAAAACATTCTTTTTTACCTTTCTGTTTCCTAAAACAGACACTCTTCTTTAAAGTACAGCTCAAGGACAATCTAGAAATTTTCCTTAGTAAACCTCATTCCTTTTCTAACCTGCTGGTCCAATCCTAGTGAAACTCTAAACTGTAAATACAATAAGACTCTCACGATAAAGTGAATTTGGATACACTGCTTTAGATTCTGTTCTCTGCTCAGCCTCTGTTCCCCAAAGGGAGCAGAGTACAGTTCTTATTTTTTTGGAGTGATGGGTGGGGCTGGACAAGGCCTTAAAACCCTGACCAGGAAGAGGAAAATGGAGGGTGGGTCCCTGAGTCCCCAGTGTTCTTCCAGTACACAAACACCACCAGATGGTACCAAATGACAAGCCAGACTCCTAAAACTGGGACTGGATAGCCAAATAGGCTACCCCTGAGAATATGCTCGTTTTACGCAATTACAATATACTAAAAAATGACCATGCAGTGAGAACAATCAGCATTTCCACAGAGAATAAACCACTGCCTTTTTTGGTTCCAGAAACAGACCAAATTCTTTTCCAATTAAGTTTACGCTCTAAATAAAATGACCTCTGACTATAATCTAAATAAAACAGGCAAGGCAGTTGATATTTATTAAATGTCTGCTGTAGAATGACTAAATGCCAAGAAATCAAAAATTCAGAAGAACTACTATGATACAACACACTAAAATACAGAGGGGAAATAACGTCTATAAATACGGTATGAAGGAAAAAACTATAATAGCAACCGAAAGAAAAAAACACTCTTTAATTATATAAAGTGACACAAACATGTTGGATTTCGAAAGATCACTATCACCAAAGTGTAACCGCATCTTCTGAAACTATTTCATTCTAAATGAATCATCATGCCAAAATAATACAACTTTTAAGAAACAACCATAAATATATCCACCTTGTGTTACAGGAAGACATAATTTATATATGATTATAAATAAGTGAAAGTTCAGAAGGCAGGAGCTCACCCAGTATGTTAACACAGATTAGCTGGGGAAGTGCTTCTTATGCTGTTCTAAATAATTAAATTAAGCTTGTCAGACAAGCAATGAGTCGTCAAAATAATTTAAGAGTTCATTGTGTGTGTGTGTGTGTGTGTGGGCAGGTGGGGAGCTAGTGTAGAAAGCTGAGAAATCACCGCCACAAAACCATAAACAAACTTCTGTAATCTGGGAAATTAATTCTCAATGAATAAATGTCTATTTACTAAGCTCTAGTTTTAGTAAAACAAAACAAAAAGTGTTGTTCTATTTCTAATGCCTAAGTAAAAAGTCTATCTAATCAATATATTACGAGGATAAAAATGCTGATCCATAATCAGCAATATGGCGTAATAACAAGGTTTACAACAGAAATTTCCATTCTTAAAAAGTCACACTGATTGGTGACATGAATTTTAAGTTGTCTAGCTGAAGTTTTCCTATATATGGGTTACATGGACTGCCTGTTTCAACAGTATTATTTTCATCAACTAGGGGTAATGCACGTGTGCATTTTTCACTAAGTAAATGAAGAATCAAAAGATTGTCAGATGTTCATCAGAAACAACAATTTACATGGTCCTATTCACTGCTTCCTAATCCCTAGCTGCCATTTACTTTAAAATTTACATCATGCAGGCATGAAAATCTGACTGGGAACATCTTGTTCCTTTCTCTTGACTTTTTTTTGCCTAAGTAGCCCATCTAAGCCCCAATTAATTTAGTCCAGGGTTCTCAATCTTGGCAGTGCTGACACTTTTGGCCAGATAATTCGGGGGATGGGGGGTATCCTGTGCACTCTGGGATGTTTACCAGCATTCAAATTATTTGGTCTTATCAGAAAGCTGCAGTGTTTACTCAGTTTAGTACATGGGAGAAAATAAAATACACGTAACTTTTAAAAATCATGCTTTTCATCTACCCAGCACTTCTTTGGGAACTTAACCCTTCCCATACGGTCTGAGTGGGGCTGACACCACCCCCTGGAGCCTCAAGAACAGATAAATGGGCCAGGATGAGCCAGAGTACTCACTATCTCTCTGGTCATGGTAATTACTCCTGGCTGGGTGTGACTCAAGCTGAGTCAATAGAGGCTCTCTCTACGACTTTTGCTGAAGCAGAAAGATGGGGAAGTTCTCTTTTTGACTCGTTTACTAGCTACAAGGACATGTACAGAGTAAGCCAGGAGCTCCCTGTAGCCATCTTAGCTTGCCTGACAATAAAGGGAAGAGGGAGAGGGGACACTTGATATCAAAAAAACCCCTGACTCCAGTTATACCAGACCAGCCACAACTTTCCAGTAAAGCAATTAGGTAAATTCTTTTTAGCTGAAGCTAACCGAACTGGGTTTTTGTCACTTGCAAGCATAAGAGGATAAACTGATGCTTTCTGAAAATCCAAATAATAAAACCTAAATATAATGGATAAGATTAACCACCTATTGAAAATGCCACTCACTGAGCACTTACTGCATGCCAGACACCATGCTGCTAAACGCTACAGATCAAACTATCGCATGGAAACCTTCGCCAACAGGCTCTGTACAGATAAGCTCTACTACTGCTGTTTTATAGATGAGGAGAAAAGGAAGTTAAGCAGCATGTCCAAGGCCAAATGCCCAGACACTGATGCAAGTTTCCTGTTCTGTGAATACAATTCTGCACCCACTTAATAACTCAGCCACCGAATGCTTACTGAAGGCCTATGTTACAAAGACCATCCTAGGTATTAAGGATACTAAGATGAATAAAAAATGATTATAATATACTCTGTTGAGTATAAATGATAATTTAGATAAATTTAAGAAAATGTTAACGTGTGGTTGAGATTTTGTAACCAAAATAGATACAGGTTCAAAGGAACATGTCTCAATTTTGACTGTAACAAATCTTGTTTATATAACTGTTTGAATTAGGAGTGATAACTGATGAAGAAAATATAACCCACATGAAGCCTGGTAAAAAAGAAATCAGATGTGAGAGAAAAAAATTTATCAATGTATCTCTAAGATACTCAGTAACACAGTTTCCTTCTATCAACAAAAAACTCTATTCCATCTGTCAGATAATTCCTACAGTGAAGATATCAGGGTATCTTAGTTTTGTGGCGCTTTTATCACAATCCCAAACCAAATGCTCTCCCTTTTGAGTATGTGCTCACCAAACCGATAAAAAATATCCTGTGAAATTTTCTCTATAAGCCAAGAATGCACTAATCAGCATTATCCTTTCGACAGTTTTAATGCTAACAGTGTGGTTTACCAGAGTTTCACATGAATTTGGTCCGTGTGCACAGGGCAAGCTAAGTGGTCATGAATTCTGGGTATCATGACCAAGTCTGAATTCCCAGAACTACAGAGCTAAAAGGCCCCAAGTCACAGTGACCCCTCCAAGGCACTATCACCCTGCTAAGTCTAGTCGGATCCTCACAGACTCCAACACGCTCAAATTCTCAAAGTGAGAAAGCTTCATAAACCACAGCTTCTCCTGGAAAAAAATACATACATTTGCTTTCTAAAATTATATTAAAATTAAAAACATTAAATCAAAACTTAAACATTAAAAATTAGAGATTGTGATCATTTATTCACTGTGGTATCTGACAGACATGTTAAAAGATAAAACATCTTAAGAGATAATTAAAATTATCTTAAGCCATAATATTAACTGGCCAAATATAAACTGAGGTGCTTTCCTACTCCCCTACAAAATAGAAAATTTTCAAAGATCAGCACTGCTATCTTTCATAGTCAAAATTTAAAAGAAACAATGAAAGGGAACAAATGTCTAACTTTCAGTACTTTACTTGGAGAGAAAGAACTCAACGGTGAACATGTGCTAACCATTATATAAGATATAAGTAAAGCATAACATTTAAAATTCAACTGTAAAAAAAATACAAAAGCCAATGGATAATTTATTTTGTATACAATTATAATGTATTCACAAAACATATGCACAGAACTTCAATATATACCAAGATTACTCCATATGATACTACCTTTAATGTTCCTAGATGTCACAGCAAGTAACCTGAAAGTGTGCACAAGCTGATACTGGTGTGTTAAAACATTTTTGCCATCACTAGAATTTACTGGCCTGTGTTGTTCCCTTAACTGTCTCTGATGTGCTGTTTGCCCTGAAAGCAGGCGCATGCTTAGACTATAAAGCTAGTTTGTGGAGGGCATGCTAAAAAGAAAACAAACAACAAAAGACTTCTACAACTCCAAAAGGCTCTGCAAATGTAAGGTGACACGTGGAGAAGGAAACTGAGATAAAAGAAATAGAGAAAGATTTCTAGCATTGAATGATGTCACACTGCACATGAACTCATTAAAAGCACACATACAACATTCCTTCTAGAACTTACCTAAAGTGAATATTCTGAAACAGACTAAAAAAATCCCCAAGTATTTTACGTTATTGGAAGTTTTACAACTTACCTTAGGATTTTAGATAAAATGAAAAAAATCATGTAAAACTTAAGTACACAAGTTGTTTCCCCAAATTATTTTAAATACATATCAAAATACTCAATTTTAGTAAGTAATATTAAACATTTCAGAAGCAAATAAGCTTTTTCTATCAGTTGTTTACTCAAGTTCTTTTTTAAACCTGTTCAACAGCTTTCACTGACATAAAATAACCTTTTAAAATCTGAATTATACAGGTTTTGAAAGGGTATATTCAGAGTATTTAAAATAAGTTAAAAAAAGAAACAAAAATTTGGGATGTTTTAAGTCACTATTTAATACCAAAACAGCATTCACTTTTTTTTTTTTTTGCTAGACTTCTGTGGACAAAAGTGGAAAAACAGAAAACACATTTCTTCTTACAGAAATTATGTCGGGTCCTCTTTCATAAGTCAATGGGGTAACAAACTGGCATGTTCTTATCTCATTATAAAATAGTTCATCACTTCAAAAGCATGAATTCAGCTACGTTATTCTACTAATAACCCACCTTTTTCATTTTCTTTGTATCTACAAATGCCAACTGGAATCTCTGCTTGAAACATGGAGCCCACCATAATCTCCTATTTCAAAAATAACAAAACATTAGTAAGATCTAGTAACAGATTTCATTTTCTAGCTTTACCATCTTCCTGGATAAACTGTTCTGGGCTCTCTGTCATAAAACACAGATACGACCAATTAACTACCTCGGAGGAGTATTGTGAGGATGAATGAGTTAATAATAGAAATGAGCTTGGATATGATTGGATGAAAATATTAGTAACAATGGGGTAAAATGCAATATACACAACAGATACAAACCTTACTGCAAAATATGGAGAAAAAGAAATAAAAATGAATTCTCATAATTCAGTTAATAAGATAACTGCAAACACTCTGAGAAGGAGTAAGTCAAATTCAGATATTTTCCAAGTGTCCATGCCCTACGAGACCTGTGGTCCTGGGATCAGCAGCATCAGCGGCAATGCCCAGGCCCCACCTCAGACCCACTGAACCAGAAGCGCCGGGGATAGGACTCGGCAGTTAGTGTTGTAACAAGCTGTCCAGATGATTCTGACACACTTAAATCTGAGAATCAGAGCTTTAAGGTAAAGGAAATAACAAAAAGGGTATCTATAAAGCTCAGCAAAGAACAAATGGATGAAACTCCAAACCAAATGGATGAACAGGTTAGTGCCTGACTTTCATTAAAACAACACAAAATGAGAAAGCGGCCTCCCCAAAACATAATTAATTTTTATTTTAGGAAATCTGGTAATCAAATCTATGTAGTCAAATCACAGATTAGGGGAAACTGGTTGTTCAGAAAGACAAGTGGCAATCACCACTGATGAGATTTTACCACAAAGGGACCAAGATTACATGGACCGACCTTTTGTCTTGTGGTTAAATGTCAAGAATAAATTTACTGCATTTTCAAAACGAAGACTTGGGCAGGAAGGACACAAAACCATGGTCTAGTAAGTTTAAATACCTCCCAGGATTTGAAAAGTTCCTCTCTCCTGTTATCGTTACCCCACTGATGTAAGGATCTCATTTTATCTACTATAACTTCAAAGACACGCTCTATGTAATAAATTTACTGCTGCACCTGTACAGGAAAACCAGCCAGTTTTCTAAAAAGAGCATCACACACAAATTTCCTCTACTCTTCACAGGAATTTCCTTTATGTCTTTCACTATAAAAAAAGAGTGCTCTACTGTCACCTCTTGGGCCTTTTTTACACCTTCACTCACCCATGCCTACCAGAAAATATAGTCAAGTTAGCGACCCCGGCTGGGGAGCTTCTAAAAACATCGATGGTCTGGACTCATTCCAGACCAATTAAATGAGAATCTCTGGATAAAGGCCTGATTATCAGTACTCAGAAGTTCTCCAAGTGGTTTCACCATGAAGCCAGGGCTGAGAACTTCTGGACTAGTATAAAGATGAGACACTTCCTTTTTCCTATTGAGTTCAGAACGCTTCTTTTCACCTGCTAATTCACTCTGTAGGGAAGGGAAGGGAAATAGCATTTAGGAGCATTATGTAGCAAGTATCTTATGAGTAATTTTCATTAAATCTTCACCAACTTTGACAAGGCTGAAATTGTCATTCCCACCTCCTATGTGAGGAAATGAATCTGAAAAAACTTAATTTCCTCAGGAACACACTATTAGTTAAGTTCTTGGGCTATAACTTGAACTTACATTTGATTTCAAACCTGTTTCCTCTACCCCAGTTTCTATAAAGACTCCATTTTATCTTATAAGTCTTAGAAGACGAATCTCCGAATTCTAACAATTTTTTACTAAAACAAAATCATACTAAAATAAGATAATCTGGATTTACTGTGGCCTGCTTCATTACATAATTTTCCTGAGGAGGGACTAACACTCCCCAGCAACGAAAGCTTTCCCTCCCCTATGTTCTCCCTATGAGCCTCTATTCCTTCATTTAAAAAAAATCAATGTTTGGGGCTGGCCCCGTGGCCGAGTGGTTAAGTTCGTGCACTCCGCTGCAGGCGGCCCAGTGTTTCGTTGGTTCGAATCCTGGGCACGGACATGGCACTGCTCATCAAACCACGCTGAGGCAGCGTCCCACATGCCACAACTAGAAGGACCCACAACGAAGAATATACAACTATGTACTGGGGGGCTTTGGGGAGAAAAAGGAAAAAAATAAAATCTTAAAAAAAAAAAAAAAAAAATCAATGTTTAATGAAATACTCAATTGAACACTCCAGATACAAAAACAATTAATTTTATCTTGGAGACTCTGGTGGAAAATAACAGTTTAAGATGACTCCTAAGGTTTCTAGCTTTTTTCATCCTAACTGCTGCAAGGTGTGAAGAATCAGGAAAGACTGGACTGAAGAACATTTGTCCAGACAGGTCACACAAATAGTAAGGAACTTCCATGATCCTTGTCTTCTGTCTTCATGTCCATCATTCATTCATCACCCACTTGAATTAATTAACACATCCTGCACTGGCTAACATTTCCCACCACTCTAAGTCACACTGATGTCCCTCTCTCCTAAACATCTCTTTGGAAACTCATAAATGCATCAATTCTGGCTGAAGCTGGAATCCCTGGGTAGCCCAGTCCAAGTTCACCTGAACACTTCATTCTTTCTAATAGAAACTCTAACTATGATGTTCCCTTAGTTTAATCAGCAAAGAGATCAGCTCTTTTTTAAGTTTGCCTCAGGCATCCCAAACTAGAACACTTTAAACCAACTAAAAAAACAAAACCACAGGGAAGGCTCAAAATTATTAACTAACTAACTAAACAATCATGACTTCAAAAGTGCAGGAAGCCACTCAATTTCATGTTTTGGGTATTCTGATTCCAAAGAAATGACTGTTTATGCAGTAAATTTAAAATCAGATCTAGGCAAAAGAACAAGAAAAAAACTCAATGGAGTTTTGAAAAGGAAAATCGGGTGATCTCTCTCAACAAGAATGACATCATTTCTAAATGATTTGCTCTGGCCAATCCTACGTGACATTTTGATACATTTTCCTAGTAAGTCAAATGCTTTGCAACAGCTTAAAATTAAATCTTCAACTTAACTGTACGATTACATAATGTTATACAATTTGTCAATATATTATCTTTAGATCCATTTTTAGAAATTAACTTAATTATAGCTAGTTGTAGAGAAGCCCACATCTGTCTCTCCACACAATATACTTTGAATTGCAAACATCAACATTAATATGGGATGGAAAAACTTATAAACCAAATTATCAAACAAAATTTACTTAACAAATACCAAAGCCTCCATAACTCCTTTCCCAAGTATAAAAAAAAAAAGACGTGATACTTTTTACAGTGCAACAAAAGTCTAATTCAGCACTAGTTCAGAAACGTGGATTTCTAATCTTGGTTTGAATACCGACTCTGTCAACAGAATCCAATTCTTTCTATACTATTATTTTCTAAAAAGATAAATATCTTTGTCACTTGGATGCATCTAGAGAAATCTGAACATCTATCAAACATTTAAATGTCACAAATGGGCTTACCTCAATTTTATCAATATATATAGTTAGTAAAAAAATAATTACACTTGGCTTTTTAAATATTTGTCTGTATTTTGGGAAAATATGACTCTACCTACCTTTTTCCAGTCTTCGGATGGAATATAATCTTCATCTTCTTCAGATTCTTCTTCTATTTCACTATCTAGAATAAATAAGACAATAATACTCTAAAATGATCGCTTATCCTGTCCACAACTGTACATATCTGTGTATCATTTTTACATCTACCATCAATATTTAAATATGCCCAAAGCTATCTGCAGAGTTAGGCCAAGATATTTCTAATCAAATAATATACGATCAGTTAAAAACACAAATCCTCCATAAACCTTTTAGGACAATCCTAATCATAGCCAACTGTATTCTAATAAAACGATTTCCTAAAAAAACTTTAAGAAAAAAATTGATTTAGAGTCGAGATAATCTGTTTCTAAAGCTAATTTTGCTGCCAACAGCCTGACGGCAGAATAAATTACACGATTTCCGTTTCTTTCCTTATGAGAATTTGGACAAACAGTGGTTTCCAAACAGTGTTCTCTGAAACCCTGAGAACACAGTAGCATCACTCCGGGGCAGCGCATGAAGGGAGTGCATGTACGAACACCTCCATTTTATTCAAAGCAGGCAAGTTGCCATTTGCTTACATTTTGGAGTAACAATGTATTTACATAAAGGTGTGCGAAAACTGAAAACTATTAGACTGCCAGCATCTTCTCAACTCGAAAATGGCACAGAAAGTTCAAAACAAGGGTAACATTTCATATAGAATTATTAATTAATGCTTCCTATGGAAAAGCTAGGATAGGCAGTATATGTATAGCTTCCATCACAACTGAAAGACCAGATTAGATGTACAGCAATAAATACTGTTTCAAGAGGCAGTCACTTTGCATCCCACTTTTAAGCACACTTTAGCAATGGATCTGCTCTTCATTTAACTAAGGAAAAATACCACATTTTCCCCGAAGTTAAAATAAACACAATTATTTCAGTAACTTATCTCTCCTTGCATTCATATGCTTTTCAGTTGGACCATTTCTTTGATCAAAACTCACAATAAAATTATTTTTAACAGCACAACATTCACTTCTAAACTAAATGTGTAACAGAAATCATTCATACAAAGCAGTAAGAATGTTTAATCAGTTCTTACATTACTACATTTCATGACAGGTTACTCTTCTTCAAGTGTTTTTCTTCCATTCAAAGTAGAGAAATGTAGACCACAAACTTAAACTACTAACACTAACGGTTGACTTTTTCTTATCAAAGAACTGTCTTCTACAATAATGATTCCTGCTTAGAATAAAACACTGTGGAGGAGACAAAGCATGCAAATATTCAAGTCACATACATTAAATGTTGTCTCAACTACTGGTCACCTCTGACCAGATCATAACTGTAGAAAAATTAGGTGAGTTCTTTCGAGGGTAAGTATTCCCACCTCAAGAGTCAACCAATTCTTTAGACCTGGGAACCACTGATTAGAGAAAGCAATGCTTATGAACATATCTAAAAAAGGCTAAGAAGCAAAGAAAGTAGAAAATGAAAACTGAGGAAAAGTGTAGGAGACATAAAAAAAGATGACTACAAAACAAATTAAATTTAAAGAAGGGTTAGGAGGCAGAAAAATGAACATGCTCAAAATCAAGTAGTGTAGTGACACAATTACTGTAGCATATTCACCGACAACTGGGCCCCAGCATTGCTAACCTAATAACCTAGAACACAATCCCATTGCTGTTGAGTGAAATTCAGAGTAAATGAATTCCAACAGAGCAATGAAAAAAAAAACACTAGAAGTTTTGGTCATGGAGTCATGCACCACGTAACGATGTTTTGGTCAACGATGGACTGAACATATGACAGTGGTCCCATAAGACCAGTACCATATGCCTACGTGTAGTAGGTTGTACCACCTAGGTTTGTGTAAGTACTCTCTACGATGTTGGCACAATGACAAAAATCACCTAACGATGCATTTCTCAGAATGTATCTCCATCGTTAAGGGACACATGACTGTATATTAAACAGTAAGAATTACATCCAAACTACAGCAACCAATAACACTTACTTGTATCAAAATATTTACATCGACGTGGACGGATTATTTCCTGGGCATCTTGAGAAGCAACAGATTGTGATGGATCATCATTGGAAGACTGAGTTTCATCCTCTTGACCTGATGAATCTTTTATATTCTCCTCCTGTGGAATGATACATTAAATTTCTTTAAGATGTAAAGAAAACTGCTGTAGATGAAAGGTTCCAGTATTCCAAATACAAGTAGAAGACAAATACACTAAATGCAGCATGGTATCCCAGGTTGTATTCTGGAACAGGAAAAAGGACATTAGTGGAAGAAGTGGTGAAATCTGAATTGTCTGTAGTTTTATAGTATGGTACTAGTGTTGATTTCTTAGTTTTGATAAATATGCCATGATTACATAAGATGTTAAAATTAGGGGAAGCTGGGTGAAGAGTATTCAGGAACTCTCTGTACTCTCTCTGAACCTCTTCTGTAAATCTAAAATTATTTCAAAACAAAGTACGAAAAATGAATACAAAACTGTCAATTAGCCTTTATTAACTAAAAACAGTAACATTTTTATTTTTTTAATTTTTATTTTTTTGTGAGGAAGATTGGCCCTGAGCTAACATCCATGCCAATCTTCCTCTTCTTTGTATGTGGGACACCTGCCACAGCATGGCTTCATGAGCGGGGTGTACATGTGCACCCAGGATCCGAACCTGAGGCCTCTGGGGCACCGAAGTGGAACGTATGAACTTAACCACTACGCCACCAGGCTAGCCCCAAAACAATAGCATTTTTAAAAAGTTGCCACAAATTTATGTAGAATAGGCATTGAAAAGAAATCTGGAATGACACAGAGAAAACTATTACCTCTCAGGAGTGAATTATAGGGGAGTTCTAATTTTTATCACATATTCCTATATCTTAATTTTTAACATTTAAATGTATTACTTTCAAAATCAGAAAAAGATAGATTATAAGAACATATTAATAAATTATAACTTCAACAAGAATAAAGACTACAATCTTAAAAATATGCGTGTATAATCTTACTTTATTTTCCCCACTACAGCCACTGTTATCATCATTATCAGCATCTTCATCGTCTTCACCTTCTTCTTCCTCTTCCTCCTCCTCCTCATCTTCTTCAGGTAGTCGAACATTACTATCATAACCATAAAGGCTGAGAAGTTCATGAATTGGCATTTTGCCTTCCTAAATAGACCAAAATAAAAAGTTAATTTCAGAATAAGTGATATTTCATATTCCTATAATTCACAAATCTATAGTCATTCCATACACAATATTCTTAGAACTACATCCAGAATTCTCAAAGCATAAAAAGCGAAACTAAAATAATTCTGAAACCTAGGAAAATCCTAGTCTTTTTAAGAATTTCTATAAGAGACTGACCAATTCTAATTGCTAACAACAAAATCTTTAAATACAAAAAAAAGTGACACTGGTCACTTTTCTTTTGTCACTATTCTTTTGTGCAATCAATTCCGTAAACGTACACAGACAGTTAACACTATGTATGGATGTTCACACTTAATAAGAGTACCACACACAATTTGGAAGTGGGGAAATAGAATAATTAGAAAACAGACAGACAATAAATTAAGACACCCAGAAACAGAGATGAAATTCACAGGCCAGCTCAAACACATTAAAAGCAAAATAGCAACGATATACAGGAATGATACTGGATTACATTAGCCATATATTCTTTTCTAGGGTTATCTATAATTACATATAAAATCATCTCACAGAATCCTTACTATCTTACAAAACTGTTATAGTATCTCCATTTCATAGATGAGGAAAACGAGGCTGACAGATTAAGCAATTTCTCCAAAAATCACACAATTTTCAAGTAGCAGAGCAGATTTCAAACCTAATTCCAAAAGCCCAGACTTTTATCAGTACACCATGCTGCCTCTGCCAGGACTCCCCTTAACCCCACAGAAACACACCCTCTGAGGGTAAAATGAAGAAACACCCAGATGTGGAGAAATGAAATCAGCTTTCTGCAGAAGGTATCGCTCTATCAGTAATCAAGTTATATCAACTATCAGGGAAACATGACAGAATTCTGATTCTAAAAAGAAAACAATTCAAATCACCTGAACATATTATATACACACTGAAGAAGAACTTAACGGAAAGAACCAGTCAGTTTAGAATCATGAAACAGGACATGTTCTGTAATTCTCCAGCAGCCTCATAGCCTCATCCTGGGACAGAAATAAGTCTAGCCCATGCATTAAGTATACTGTTACAGTGGAGATGGGTACACAATGACCTGATACAACCTGATAACACTACCGCCACTCAGAATTCCTGTGCAAGAAACAACTAATGATTCTAAGTTGAAAAATTTTCTCATAGGAAAGAAATGCGGTTTAACACTTCTACTTCACACTGTAAATGGATATTTTAGTTATCCATCAGTTCATGAATCTGTTTCTAAAAGAGGAATCAATTCTGAGAGTCCTATGACCTGCAGCAGCCACAACCTGGAAGGGGTAAGTCTCTCAGGAAAGGTGCTACCAATGCCTGCTGAATGACCAGCTGGTACACTTGCTTGACACCTCGGAGTGGGACCCTCAAAGTGCAGAAAAACAAACAGTGCTTGAGGTGTTCAAGGATCTAGCCCATGCAAGTATCTGGTCTGTGCACCGAGGATCTGGTACAGGAGACAGAAATTTTGGAATTCATACTCAGAACGTAAGAACTAAAACAGAACTTCAAAATCAAGAAAGAAGTAGAGCAAGAGAAAGATATAGAGAAAGTTGGCTGTATATACAACAAATAATAGCTGGCGTAAAGTGTCTTCGATGTGCCAGGTATTTGTGGTAAGTGCTTTGACTCCACTTTCTTATTCTATCTCTTTGCTGAACAAAAGCAGAGGGAGAGTATTACACAATCTCATTACATCTTTAAAAGCACCGCATGGGAGTATTTGCTACCTTTATTTGTAAATAAAATCAAGCAGAGAGAAACACACACCAACAGATGTTACAGTAATACCTAGACCTCCTAATCTCAGTTCATACTTTTTATATACTCATTCTGCACCACAAATTAAAAGCAGGTTTAACAACTGAAATAACTACTATGAAAAACAGCAACTGAAGTATCTAGTATGACTAAGGGCCAAACCAGGAAAAACACTTTAGCGTAAGTTTGCAACTAATATTTTCACGGACCTTAAGAATTCATAAAGAACTTGTTTGATATAGTCATATGTCGCCTGACAACAGGGACACATTCTGACAAATGCGTTTAGGCGATTTTTGTCGTCGTGCAAACACCGTAGAGTCTACTAAAGGGGAACAAAATCTGCCACTCCAAAATGTGTTTCTTTAACATAAGGATTATTTTAGGTTAATTATTTTAAGAAACAAAAGACTCAGAAAGTTTTTCTTGTTCCTTCCTCTTAATTGTCTAAAAGAATTCTAACTAAAAAACCTGTCTCAGAAAGCGAGCTGTCCACCTTAGCATAACATGAACTAGGTGTAGACAGGGAGGAACCTAGAAAAGCCTGTTTGCTGGGCTTCCCTCTGTGTTGTTTCTGTGTGGCCAAACACATACTTGTTTTCCAAACATTTGCTCCTTTTCATTTACCTGTGAATTGTCATCCTTTTGCCAATCACCTTTGAAGTCCCTGACTCTCCTCATCCCCAATATCTTCTGTCTTTAGCTGAGAATGTTATTTAAGGTGAGGGCTTCGGCCGTATTGGCAAGTTGCTCGGTTTTCCTGGGTTTCTTCCATGTATACACGTTATTAAAACTGTTGCTTTTCTCCTGTTATTCTGTCTCATGTCAATTTAATTCTTAGACCAGCCAGAAGAACCTAGAAGGTAGAGGAAAATGTCTTCCTCCCCTACACTACTTACACAAACCTAGATGGTATAGCCTACTAGGCTATATGGCACTAATCTTATGAGACCGCTGTCACATATGTGGTCCCCCATTGACTGAAACGTTATTATGCAGTGCATGACTGTGTTTATTTCATCTTTAAAACTACGCTAATAGATGTTACTATTATCCCTAACTTTTACAACTGAGTTAAGTGGTATTTGAGAGATCACACAACAGAGGTAGGTTATCAGTCAAATAAATGTCCTCAGGCTCTCTCTCTTTGGTCAGCCTTGAAATTCAAGGGCAACAGAATCACACCAGGTCTTATTAAAACAGACTGCTGAGCCCCACCCTAGTTTCAGATGCAGCAGGGCTGAGGTGGGGCCTGAGTGCCTGCATTTTTCTAAGTGCCTGGTGATACTGACGCTGTTGATACAGACCACCCTGAGAACCACGCATCTCACAGCTCCAGGATAAGACATTGCAAATCAGCGTTTCTAGTGGGAGGTAACAAAGCCTGATCATTATCTTTCATAAAGCTTATCACCAACATCTCACATCTAGCTCAGTTATGCGTCAGAAGGACAGGTGACAGACTAAATGCATGGAGATTTTTTGTTTTTTTTTACCACTATCAGGAATGGGGAATGTCTGATATTCACGGTTAGGGCAAGATTTTTCCCTCTTGGATATGCATCTGAGAATTATGACTCACTTTACAAAAAATTCATTTCTCAACTAAAAATTTAGCAACACCTCCAATACTGACTAAGCAGAGAAGAAAGGAGAGTTAAAGAGTGGCTGATCAGTGTATTTGGAGAAGTGCTTGAATTTGGAGAAACAGTAATAGACCTGGCAGACACAAAAGTCACTCAAGTCAGAGGAAGTGGCAACTACACAAGGATAGAAACAAAAATGAATGAGCAGGTTCCCCTGGTGAGAGTAACTAAAGTATTTTTACTTACTTTCTCTAGTTCTACTTAGTTTCTAAAGGGCTATGTACAAGGACTCTACTTCTGAGTCAATCTGAGAGTAGCTGTTGAGCAGTAATCGACACTATGCAAGGGCTGAGGGAAAACTATACACACAGTGAAATGTTCAAGACGGACGTGGGTAGGGAGAGATCCAGTTTGCCAGGGAGACCGAGCGAGGGCGGACTCCACTGCTGGCACTCACGTGGAGTATAACCAGAACCTCAAGTCAGTCAGTGGTTGTGGTAAAGAGAAACTTGAGACCCTGCAGCAGAATCCACAGGATGTAACCACGGGTTAAGAGTAATCGTGAGGTCCTGGAGACACTGAATCTCTGGTTCTAGACATTCCTTGGACCCAGATACACATATATATGACTTCTAAAAAAGTTCTTAAAAATAATAAAAACAATAAAGTTCTAATAAACTTCTAAAAAGTTTATTTTCAAAGTTAGTTTTAGGTGGGTTCCATCATGTATAAACAAAATATCCTTGCCCATTCCACCAAGAAAATGTTTGCTTAATACTAAAAACAGAGAGTATATAGTGGTATTATGCTTTTGCTTAGGTATTAACATTTAACTTAACTTCTGTCACCAATACCAAGTTAGTAAATAACAGTCATGACCCACTGAGGAATACAAGAGTCACAGTTTGACAGTATTATGAAAGCATCTTACTTGATCTAAGGTATAAAGTGAAGATCTTGCAGCAAGCACTGGGCTACAAGCATGATAAAAACCAACATCAATTTTCCTGAGGAATCCTCAGTTTCAAATTCAAGTAGCATTTATTGTGTCCTTACTATGTGCTAACTGAAGTACTGAGACTGTTCAGCAAGTACCATATAAGGATCATTGATTGCTGTCTGCCCCTCAATCCTTTCTTTCTACTTCTATACTCTTCTTCCAGGAATGTTCCTTCCTCCATTCCAAGCATGTCTTGGAGTGAAAGCTCACCTCCTGGACCAAGTCACATCTGACCTAAGTGGAATCACTGCATTGCCTGGTCACAGGTTTGGAATGGGCGCATGACCCAAGGTTGGCCACAGTTTCCAGATTTTTACCAGCAGCAGCTAAAGAAACACAGACTTTCTCAAGCAGCAAATTTAGGAAGTGACTGCGTATGAAAAAAGTTGGTCTATAAAAGGACAGCACCATGCAGAAAACCAGAAACAGAAAATATGTTGTGGTGGCAATTGAGTCCCTGAGGCCTAGATATCCCCCTGCCCTTAATGAAATCACACAGGCCTCGCACTTCATTCCTTTTGCCTAAGCTGGTTCAAGATGGATTTCTTTATTTGCCCCCAAATATTCTGATATAACAGCAATGATATCCTGTAAAGCAAATGTTATTTCCCTCTGAAAAAAAGACT